GTATAAATACATTTAATGTGTACATTTGCAATTCTATAGTTGTTTTATTGAAATATTTGTTATATTTGAAATTTTTGTCTCTCATAGTTGAGGTCTACCTATGATGTCAGTTACAGGCCTCTCTCATCTTTTTAAGTGGGAGAACTTGCACAATTGGTGACTGACTAAATACTTATTTTCCCCACTGTATAATCTTGTAAAATTTCAGTTTTTACCACATTAAACTAGTCGCTCAATAAAACACAGACGCGCTGCTTTTAAAGAAACTTTTATAAAGTTTAAACATTTCAGATCATAAACATTTGAACATTTCAGGACATATACAATTCTTGATATGAAACAGTAAATATCTCTTATTTTGCACACTCTTTAAAGTGATTCAGAAAATAAACACTTGTCATCGTCCACCGGATTCTTTTCCCGTCGTGGCRTTTTAAAACCGTAACATCTCCGTCGACTTGAGGCACTTTCTGAATGACGAGGCTTTTCGAAGAAAAAAACGTTAAAAAAAACTAAACAAAAAAATAAAAGCACAACGATGAAAGACTACAGCACGCCCAAGAGGCGGCCTTTGGACACAGTTACAGACCGAGTGGCTTTTTTGGAGCAGAGCTTAGCTTACACACTGAAAATTTATCATTTAAGCTTTGTTTTTTTTTCTTTTTCTTTTCTTAATAATCACAGAGACATGCTGGCAGCATGAGACAGCTACACATGCAGGTTTAAATATAGCTCCACACTGCAGATGGTTTTCATGTTTGCTTTAAAAATAAATGAGTTCTGCGCTCCTTTTCTTCTGGAGCTTACCAACATTTCTTAAACAGCTCAGCTCGGACAAACGAAAAGGATGTTTTGAAGGAAAAAGATCTTTTTGTGTTTTCAGGGTACATTCCTGGCGTAGCGATAAACATCACATGCTCTTTCCACTGAGTTTAGAGCCCATTTAACACTGAAAATCATGACTTTATATCCGTAAATACTAAGCTTTTTGAAAATATTCTAAAGCAACTTGGTTTATTTTTTTCCTGTCGACTGAAAAAAAAAAGGTAATTTATAAAATTAGTTCCAAGTAACTTAAAAAAATGCACTAACACAAGGCCGCTTGGATCTGCTCCTGAAATGTTTGGGGTTTTAACACGACAGGATCAGCGTCTGAAAGTGTAAACGTAAGCGGTGTCCCACTTTTTAACCCGGGCGACGTGACAGAGTTTCTGTTTTCAGCCAGCTGCACGAACCTCCGGGCTTATCCTTTCACGGTAAACAAGGCAAAAAAAATGAGCACAAACTCCAGCGAGATGGAGGAGTTTGTTTGTCTGAGCTGTGAGTGGAACATCCTAAAGGCCTCCGTGTCTGCAGTGTGGGAGAAAGATGGCACCGAACGTCCAAACGGATCAACAGAGTCCAGTAAGAGCTGCCGACTAGCTGGGAGAGGAAGGAGGCTCCTGCTGATCGAGTGACATTTCCTCCCCTGAAAGATTAACAACGGGTCAAAACAAACCTCGAACACCCGCCGGCGGACTAACATCTGTTCACCGACAYGCTTCTCTCACCTGGTTCGTCTCCATTTTCCTCGCTTCGCTCATCTTCCTCCTCTGGAATTTCCACTTCACCCAGATCCTGCACGTCGTCGGCGTTCGACTCCTTTAAAAGACGAAACGGACTTACCTCAAAGTTTCTGACAGAAAAAAACAAAGTAAGTAGTGATTTTTACCTGTGATTCAGAGAAACAGTCTTCATCAGAGTTCCTGAATCCTTCTGGAGCTTCCATAAGGAACTCCAAACCGTCTGCCTCCTCTTCATCACTGCGGACAAACAAACAATTTGTGCCAACTCATCTTGTTTTCATCAAAACTGAGATTTCTGCACAGTTCAGTCTTTGTCTTAGAAATCTTTGGCCTTCAGATTAAAAACTGATCAGCTCATTAATGCGAGTTTATGCTCAACACAAATATGAGCAGCAGCGTTGGTAAAAAGCTCTGAAATAAGCCGAGTGCTAATCCAGCTTATCGAGGATATCTATGCAAGTGTTGGAACAATTATTACGCAACTGGATAAAAGAGAAACTGTTCTGTGCAAAAGCTGAAGTTTGAGAAAGAAAAACTGTTGTTGAAATGAAAAGAATCAGAATGCTAGCTGAAAGTTAAAAGAAGCAAAATGACAGTTAAAAGGTAGTAAAAAGCTACAAGTAGTAAAAGTAGCTAGCTAAAASCAAAAGTTTCAAAAGGCTAGCAAAAAGTAGAAACATGCTAAAATCTAGAAGAAAAAGGCTAGCTAACTGCTAAAGTAACAAGTCTTTATAAAATTATTAAAAGGCTCGCTAAAAGCGTCCGAACACTAACTAAAAGAGGCAGAACTATCAAAAGCTAAAAGTATCAAAAGACTAATGTATTAATTTGCTAAATAGGTCTATTTTAACCATGTACCCTGCAGTGTGTGATGTTTCTATGTTTTGTTGGATTGTTTTAATCTATTATATTCGTTTTGTGCACTTGTTTTGCAAACTGTTCTTAATTTTATTTTACTTGTGCTAATTCTGGCGCATTTATATTCATAGACTATCAATGTGCATTGTCCTTTTAAATAAATCAAATGAAATAAACGAAACTAGCTAAAAGCATCAAAACAGATGTTAGTTTAGAAAACTAAATAGTCAAAAGGAATACAAAAATAGAGTTGTCTGCTGAGGCAGGTTTTAAAAAGAATGTTTTAGAAGAAATTAAAAGATGCTTTAAGCCTTTTTTTAAAGGAGAAAATATTTGTAAATAATTTTAAAAGTATACAAGTTACAAAAAAAATCATAACCTTTTGATCGATTATTAGCTACATTAGCACAAAGGGTTTTTTTGCACAAAAAGTATATGAAGTAGTTAAGATAAAAACAAACATGAAAAATAAAACTGTGTGAACAACTAATCAGCATTTTGAACTGTACTTTTATTGAACTAAAAAGGGCTGGAAAACTCCTGAAATGTGAGAAAAGTCTCAGGTTTTAACGTTTTGTTTTAGCCGCAGGTGGTTGGACTCAGTAAAAGCTGACTAAATCTGGTTCTACAGGTTCAGGTTTTGTTTTTATGATCCCTGACCTCTTCATTTATTCTGGTGAAGCAGAAATGTTTTCTTGACGCTGGTTACTTCAGGATAATTTCATAATTATGTAGAAGGCTGGCAGTGAGGGCGACACTGACCTGCCCTCAGAGTACAAGTTCTCCACCTTCTGATTTATTTCCTCTTCTGTTTTATCTTCTTTATCGTTTTGATCTTCTTGTGTTCCTCCCTGCTCTTCTTTTTCTCCCTCGTCCTTCTGCCGCTGTCCGTCTTCCTCTTCATCAGCCTCGTCCAGATCAGAGTTGTTGAGAAAGTCGAAGCTCTCGAGGGCCGTCTCGACTTCCTGATTGAAGCTGGCTGAAGTGGGGAAAGAGACCTGAGGAGGATCAAGAGGAGTTTTAGGACATGAAGCTTCAGGTGGACATGTTGGGTTTAGTTTCTGCTCACCGTTGGAGCCTCCTCTGGTTTTAACTCCTGGACAGACTGATAGGGTTTGTTTTGTTCCTCCTGATGTTCCTCTGCAGCTTCRGCTGGGTTTTCTTCTGTTTCTGCTTCAGTCTGCTGATAGTCCACCGGCAACTCCTCACATGGTTCGCCCTGTGTGTCTGCAGCYGACACGTTGCCCCCCTCCACCGACAGCACTGGGGCGACAGAGTCAGGGCAGGATGTGTCAGAGACGTCCTCTGATTGGACAGATGTCCCGTCAGTTGCGGCGCAGTCCGAGACGCTCTCTGCGGCACCCAGGCTGCGAGAGCGGGACGTCTGCAGGTGGCCGTTGGGCACCGCCTCCGCCTGAGTGAAAACATCTCCCCCCTCCGTCTCGTCCTCCTCCTGGTTGGACGAGAGCGATGGCGTTGACACGCTGGAGCTGTGCGGCGCCAGCGACAGCTGAGCGGTGGGCGCAGTCTGCAGCACGTTGGAGGCAGTCAGCCTCTGGTGAGCCAGCGCCGGGCTGGAGGAGTCGTCGGATGACTCAGAGGAGTTGGACCAAACCGTTCCGTTCTCCATCTCCCCCTGACGCTTCAACAGGGACTGCAGAGGAAGTGAAAAACGTGTAGGTCAGAAAAACAACAAGAAAGCCAGGTTCAAACTGATGAAACAAATTAATTAGATGAAAGATAACGTGATGAGAAGCTGAGTTTAATGGATCTGATTCATAACAGGTCAGCTGGTTCAGAAAACCATTTGTGATCCATCACATTGACTGAGTCCTAATGTGGTATGTGAGAAATAAGCAGCTGTAGTGCATTGTTGAAACCTTTGAAACGATTGCGTTTTATCAAAATATCATGCATAAATACTACAGGGTGTTTCGATTAAATATCTGAAATATAATCATATAGAATTTTTGAAGCTTCTTTGAGAATCAGAAACAAAAAACATGATTTTGAGAAGAAAAGCCTTTCCTTTGCGTTTTCCCTGAGAGCTAACAAAGATTTTTTTTTCTTTCCAGCTAGTAAATCTTAATATCCAAAAAAATTGTTTGAGATTTCCATTTTAAAATTACTAAATCCCTCAATAGAATAACTTAAAATAGAATTCGGACCAAATATTAACGAGTTATTCTGATCAGGAAGACAAATCAAGAGATATCTCAGGATGATCCAGGAGCTTAAAAAGCAGGACTCTGATCATTTCGACCAAATTTGACTGAACTCTCAGTTTGATGTGATGGGTCACATTTAGTTTTTGAGATTTGGCTCTTTATGATTATTTAAAAGATGATTTTAGTTTATATCTCAGCATCCCTTCAACTAATGACTAAAAGCTCAACAAGTAATCATGTTTGAAACATTTTATGGCTGTAATATTATTTTCACAGGATTTATTTCATAATAAAGTGGTTTGTTCATTAACTTCAAGTTTTCCTCCTCTGTGATTCTTACACTTCCTACACTTCAGCTGCCAAACCTAACAACTTTCAGCTAGCTTAACGTTAGCTCGTTCTATTTTTACAAAACCTTTGCGTTTTGATTTCTTTACAAATCAAAATTATGGCTTATAGCAGTGACGATTGAAAAATGTTTTTAAGAGAAAAAATATCACAAAAAAAGGAAATATAAAAAACTTATAAACTAAAAATACTGCAGTCCCATAAAACCATTAAAAGATTTGATTTAAAGATGACAGTTTTACAGATTTAATGAACAAATCAAAGTGTTGATTGTGTTAACTGATTATTGTTTCATTTAAAATTGCTACAAACTAAAAAAGTACAGCGACGCTGCAACACACCGGCTGCGATGAAATGAACCGGGGCTTCGTACGGCCGAGATCCCAACGTAAGGACGCCGCGACGCCGGGGAAACCCTCCGCCAACGAGTGGCTCTGCCTGGGCCCGCAACGAGGCACGCTCTTCACCGAGGTGAGGAAGAGGAGGGACATATTGGAGCTCTACTCAACCACTATCAAACAGCTACAAGGACCACAGCTGCGCTCGAGCGTGCTGCCGCCGCCACACAGATCTCTGCTGCCCCCATTCATCCGCCTTTCACGGGGAACACCACAACCACACGTACGAGCACACAACTCTCTGTGAATATCCTCGCACACCTCAGAGCTACCGCTACACGCTAAACAACTGGGGAGCAGCTGCAACACAACAGGCCGGTGAAATGACAACGATGACAAATCAGTGAGATGAACTGTGAAGATGAGGTCAAACTGAAGAGTTCAGACATGTTAAAACATTCAACTCTGGGTCTCTGCAGCACATAGAGAGATTTTCTTGACTGCGTGGGCGGAGTTTGTTCTAATCATGATTAGCAAAATTTGTAACATAGTTGGAGGTTCTTCTGTGTGGTTTCTTCAAACCCCACACAAAAAAGTACATATGACTAATCACGTCTTTAAAAGGGATCCACGATTAATTGTAACATTAGACTTTATTTGATAAACATATTTTAACTGTAAAATAAAGACTAAAAATACTGTAGGCTGTTTATTTTTTATAATTTTTAAAAATATATTTTAACACGGACAGAGCCATTTTATTTACACACAAAGCATTCTGGGTAAATGGTGACATGGATAGGTCCTCGGTGTGAGCGAGCTATATCCACCCTGAAGG